AATGCTGAATTTGTTAATAATGAAACTATTTCCTCTTCTATCCTTCTAATCCTCCTAAACAGAAGTAACTAGAAGGTTGATTTTAAACCAAAACTTGCTTCAAAGATTTTGTTTGCAATGTAAATTTCTTCATCCTCTCTGCTGTTCCAGTTTAAGACAGGGTAATTTCTCCTTCTTCTTAAACTTTTTCATCTCCTCTTTAGCCTTTTTGTCACAATATTTTCTAAAGTCCCTAAACCCACCACTTATTTGCTAGCCTCCAAAGAACCTATTGGGTCAAGCTATGTCGGATGAAGTTACAAACCTTAAATCTAATACAACATGGCAGCTCACTTCTTTACCTAAAGGGAAGAAAGTCATCAGTTCTAAGTGGGTTTAATAGGTTAAGGTAAAACCTAATGGGGAGATTGATAGAATGTAAAGGTAAGGTTGGTTGGCTAAAGCTACAAGCATAAAAATGAAAGGTATTGATGTTAAGGAAGGTTTTCTCCCTGTGCTAAAGTAAGCCTACTTGTTAGACTTGTTTTTGCTGTAGCTACTTCCATTTAAATGGCCCCTTTGTCAATGGATATCAATAATGCATTTTTTGCATGGGTTTTCGATGAAAGAAGGTGTATATGCAGCCTCCTTTGCAGATTATTCTCTTCTCAACCCAATCAGTTTGTTTACTAGAAAGTCATTTTAACGGTCCTTAAACAAGCTCAATACAATGGAATGTTGAAGTTCACAAATTTCATTCTCAAATTGGGTTTTATCAAGTCCTAGTCATGATCATTGCTTGTTACTAGAACTGTTGATAATGAATTTTAATCGAATCTTGTTTATGTGGATGAATGTTATTAATAACTGGTACTCAATATGACTGCTATCACTGCTGGTAAAAAAGCTTTAGATGCTCAATTTACTATCAAAAGTTTGGGGTTTTGCCAAATATTTTTTTGGCATTGAGATAGCTAGGTCTTACTATTGGGCACCATTCTCTCTCATGAAAGTTTATCTTGGTTTGGTTAAAGAGGTTTGGTCTTGAACATGCAAAACCTGCTGGGCTGTTTTCCTCTATCTTAAAAGTGTATACTGTCCTTTTAGATGAAAGCTCTTTATTTGGATAATCTTAAATCAATTATAGAAGGCTTAATTGGGGAGCTTCTTATATCTTACTTTGACAAGGCCTAACATCAGTTACTGTGTCAGCATTTAAGTAAAGTTTATGTTTCTCAGAGAACCTCATATGGCAAGCAGCTTTTATTAAGTTGTTTAGATACTTGCATGCACCTCTTCCAAAGGGCTTTTTTTATTCTGCCTCTAATGACTTGAACTTAGGGCTTTTTGTGATTGCAGATTGGTCTTCACGTTCCTTTCTCTCGCAAGTCTCTCCACTGGAATATTGTATTTTCCCTTGGTGATTCTTTTGATTTCTTGGAAAAAAAAAGAAAATAGAATACGTTCTCGATCATCAGCTGAAGCAGAATATAGGTCTAGTTGGCTTAACACTGTATGGAATTACATGGTTATCTTACATTTTGAATAGATCTTCATGTTTTCTATTTCTCTTCCAATAATCTTTGTTTTTGTGACATCAAGCTGTCTTACATATTGCTTGGCGAATTCCAGTTGTTCATGACGCATTAAACACTTGATATAGACTGGTCAATTTGGTGTTCGTGATCGCTTAAAAGCATGGTTTCATCAAGCCGACTTCATGTTTTGCTTTCCTCATTCTCAGCTTGGAGATACCTTTAACTAAGCCTTTAAGTTCTGCCCATATATCGAAGTCTTTCTATGCAAGTTGGGCAACCAGCATCTGCACCCTCCCAACTTGAGGGGGGAATGAAAAAATATATGTAAATAGTCATTTAGTTAAAAAAGGTTATTTATGTACAAGTGTAATAGAACTGTTTTAATAGCTGCGATACATTCATGGTATTTTTACTTTTACAAATAACGAAACTGCAGAGCGTTATTTTTCTTACTCTCCTGTCACGTTTCTTGGTTTGTTCAATTCTCTTGTTAATTGAAATTTTTTGTGTATTTTTCAGGTGTAGGGTGTGTAGCCAGATCCTCCCTGCATTTTGTCAAGCTGAGCAACCAAAAAAATTTTTTTTTCCCCCTAAAGCTTTCTTTCATATATGCAGATATTGAATGAATGTCTGGAAACAAATCTGCAAATTCGTTATTAGCACCAAACAACATTTTCATTTTTATCGCGACGGTGAAAGGGTGTGATGAAATGTTTGGTGCTGGAGAAGAGAGGCTGCAATGATCGCTTGTGCTGCATTCTTAAACATCTATCTTGTCTTTAGGATCATTTGTGACAAATCAAGCTGTTCTTACATATTGCTATGCGAAAATCCAGTGTTCATGAACGCATTAAACACTGATTATAGACTGTCCATTGGGTTCGTGATCGGCTTGAAGCATGGGTTTCATCAAGACCACTTCATGTTGCTTCTCATCTCAGCTTGGAGCATACCCTTTTACTAAGCCTTTAAGTTCTGCCATTATGAAAGTCTTCTATGCAAGTTTTGGGCTAACAAGCACTCTGCACCCTCCAACTTGAGGGGGGAATGAAAAATATATGTAAATTTAGTCATTAGTTAAAAGGTTATTTATGTAAAAGTGTAATAGAACTGTTTAATAGCTGGCGAATACATTCAATGGATTTTACTTTTACAAATAAAGAAACTGCAGAGCGTTAAATTTTCTTCCTCTCCTGGCACGTTTCCTTGTTTTGTTTCAATTCTCTTGTAATTGAAATTTTTTTGTGTATTTTTCAGGTGTAGGGTGTGTAGCCAGATCCTCCCTGCAAATTTTGCAAGCTGAAGCAACAATTTCCCCTAAGCTTTTCTTTCATAAGGCAGATATTTGAATGAATGTCTGGACAAATCTGCAAATTCGTTATACACCAACAATTTCCATTTTTTTCGCGACGGTGAAAGGGTTGATGAAATGTTTGGTGCTGAGAAGAAGAAGCTGCATATTCGTTGTGGCTGCATTCTTAAAATCTATCCTTGTCTTAGGACCTCCATTTATCATTGTAAAGTGGATGCAGGAATACATGTCCTGCACTTGCCAAATTATGCAAAACACAACACTGCTTTGAGGCATTCCAAATTAACTGAAAATCACAATTTTACTAATATTAATGCTTCCTTGATAGTTATAAACAAAATGTAAAATAGAAATCTAATATGCATTAATGAACTGAAGATTATGACTACAGAATATTATAAAGAGAGGAGAATGAACTCACTATCAAACTAAAATTACTAACAATTAATTACATGCCTTGCACTTGGACCTCCTCGAACATCATGGTCCCAGGACAAAGATAAGAATCTTGTTGTTGCTAAACACCGCAATACATAAAATGTATTTTCCTTTGTTTTAGTTACATTTGAAAAGCTGGACGAAAAACTTTGGGAGAGCGAGAGAGACGTCTGTGGTTTCTAATATCGTTTCATGACATTATCTTTCAATTATTATTTGGAAGTAATCAGCTCTTTAGTTTTGACAAAATAATATATAGTGTTATTCAGTTAAAAAAGTATTTAATTTTTAAATTTATTAGACTATTAAATTAAATATGCGTAAGCTCAAAATTATGAGCATTAAATGTAATTTTTTTTAAATTGATTCTACTGTAATTTCTAGGTTATTGTTTCATAATTAGCAGGTTTTATTTAATTTTAATATTTTTTATTAACTTCAGTTTCCAGCGATAAATTGCTTTTAAACACAGGAATCAATATTTTTTGTTCAGGGAAATAAGTGGAGGACCCAATCTGACCCATCACCACTTCCGATGAGAGGACCATTCAGAGATGCTCAATTTTTCAGAAACATCAACAAGGCAAAATTTCCAATGTTAAGCAAATTTTTTGATTTTGTTTCTTAAAAGTTGACAATCGTTGTTATGGCTGACTTTCCAGAACTCTGGATGCTTACAACTGGTTTGAAAGGAGTGTCCCCTATACACATGCATAAAGTCTACCATTAATCAAACTTGATAAATCGCTTCGTTTTGTTTTCTATGTCTACTATTTTTTTTTTTTTTTTTTTTTTTTTTTTTTTCAGCCTATACATATTAATGGCGAACTGCTTTATCGTTTGAATTTTTCAATTATATTAATACATTTTTTTAAATATATATGATTATATTTATTTTAAAATTTTAAATAATCAATCATATATGAGTAAAGACAATTAATTTATTATTTTTTAAAAATTTCACTAAAACACTTCCAATTAGGTTTTAGGTTTTAACATAAAGTAATTTTTCAAAATAACCATATAATTTAATGATCATAATTATTATTAGTATTAATAAAAGAAGAACCATACTATTTATGTCATAAGAATTTCATAGATTAATAAAATAGAAATTAAATGATTAGTATGAGAACTAAACATAAATTTTATTCAGTTCACTTGAATAGCATAAATTTTATTCAGTTCACTTTGCTTGGCATAAGCACTGATCGCCTTTTTTTTTTTTTTGGGAAAAGACAGAAGCTTTATATTCATACTAAACTGGAAAGCAAATGAACTTCTATAGCTAAGAATTAATTTCAACTAAAAATTTTTCATTTTAATTTCTATAGCTAGAATATTTCAGAACCTTTCAATGAATAGCTTTAATTGGCCATACTAGGATATTCTCTAGTATCATTTCTTTCCTATTCCCATATTTATTATATATATATATATATATAATATATATACACCAGCCCTCTTGTTCATCTAAGACCCACATCACCCTCCAGTATATGACTGATAGGTTTAGGATATATGTTATTTTGCTATTTTTATACAGACAACAAAGAGGAAAAATCTGATATGCATCATATATATACACAGGCCTCTGTTCATCTAAGACACATCACCTCCAGTAATGACTGATAGGTTAGGATATATGTTATGTTGCTATTTTATACAGACAACAAAGAGGAAATCTGATATGCATCAGCAAGGAAGGATTAAATATCTCTGCAGACTACAGAAATGTTGAATGTGATATCTGAGGATATTTATTTCTGTACAATACAACTATCAACTGCAAAGAAAGTCATGTAATAATCCCTGTTCTGTTCTAACACAAGCCTCTGTTCATCCAACCTCATATAAAAATTTTACATAAAATAATACATCAGGATATGCTGAAAACTCTATATGTGACCAATATGCATATACATTAAATATTTCCACTTGTATACTAGCTAAAACACATGTAATATTAAGCTGCAAAAGAAAATGGATTCCAAAAGGCAAAAGGAATTAAATTATAAGAAAAGACTTCTCCTACATTTTTCATGCTGGGAAACCTCTCAAGTACCTGCCTTCCCATAAATTGCGGAATCAACCTAGAAATGCAATCACTCCTCTGGCCTAAAGAAAGTATAAGTTGAACTGGTTTCCGTCTTCGTGACCTGCATCACATCATATAATGTCTCTATGAGGTGAACATAAATCAAGAGATACATCAGAGAAGCAAGTTATTTTATGCATTACCATGGCAGAGTCCTATTTTGAGTTAATTAGTTTCCCTATTATCTAATATTGACGAAACTCTCCATAAACATGGGTAATGGATAACAGTAAGAAGCCCCAAGGCAGGAAAACAAATATTAGCAGTTATGGAAACTTACACAGATAAGGTCAACTCACAAATCTGTGTTAAAATTTCACCAAAAATGGTGTTAGCTAATTTTGCAATTATACATAAACAACTGCCAGTACTTGGTCCACAAAGAGCTTTTATCATAGTTCTAAAATTTCATAGCTAATGTTCTTTGCTTGAAGATAGTTTATGGATAGCTTAAGTCATAATTGGCTCATGATGATGTCCTTTTCAAACTAAAGAAAATTTTGATGCATTCCATCCTCATTCTGTTTTTCATACATAAATCAAATGAAAGAAAAGCAAAGACATAGGAGAAAAGCAGCTAAAACAAAGTGATTGAAAATTTAATCTACCTCAGAATTACGAGCAAGTCCAGTAGGGAGAACAGGAACAAGAGACGTCCAATGGATGGGGTCTACTAAGGGATCAATGGTATTGTAGTTGGATAGAAGTGGAGCAGGCAAGAAAGGAGTCAATTGATACACATTTCTCTGAAGAGACAATCCACCAGTCATTCCTAATGCAGCTCCAAGTCTCTCATTACTATTATCATGGCTTGTAGACTTCTCAACTGCTTTGCCATAATCCATCTTGTTGGTATTTTTGTTTTTATTCTCGTCATTATCAGTACGGTTTTCTTGCTTTTTTGAAGCTCTCTCTTGCAAGCTCTTGTATGCTGCTGATTTTGACAAAATGCTCAAGGCAGAGAATGAAGAGCCTTTGTGCTTTTTTCCATCAATCGGCATGCCTAAACAGGGCATCTGGTATGGCTCAGTAGGCTGGACTGCCCATTCTGATGTTTTAAGTTCACCACCAACATCTTCGGCATAACCATGCTTGGCCTCTTCAGATGACTTTGAGATGGATTCTGCTTGACGAGTTTTGTTCGACCCCCACCATTTGATATAACTTGTTAGATCAATTTTTCTCTCGAAACAAAGACTCCCAACATAATCACTCTCTGATGCTGGGTCATCGGCTGCACCTTATAATGAGATATCACCATTAGATAGATGGCACTGGTTCTGGAGGAAAATAGTTGGGAAAAATAAGACATATATAGAAGCCCTCAATTGCCAATTTCTTGGCAAAAGTTTGTTCTCTAAAATGATACAACTCGACAAGATTCTCTCAAAACTCGATTTTCTTGGACATTGGAAAAAAATATACTTTGAAAACAGAACCTTGGGCCTTACCATAATTTATGCTACTGAAATATTCAGATCCGGGCATACGACTAAATGATGAGTCCCACCGACTGCTTTGTGATAGCCAGAAGTATGGAGCAAAATACAGAAACAAAATATCATTAATAATTTATACATATCTAGTTAGAAAGAAAACAACTGTAGTCCCTCACGAGAGCTTGAAGGCAAGAACAAAAGCATAAAACACGTGTTGTCAAACAGGAAGCCATAAAGGACATTCCATCAAAATCTGTCAGAAAAAGGTTCAGCTTTGAGGTGGGTCAGCTAATCATTAAATATCAATGACTCAAACTTTGTCAACTTGCAACAATTGGTAAATAAGAAACATCAAGTAGTTTCTCAAAGGTTTGAACAAGCATAGAAGAAAGCCATAATGACGTCCAGCATGACTTGAAGCCTTAAAGGCAATAATACAGTAACTACCATGTCTGCCTCAAGAACTAGCAAGTCCCAGAAAACAGAAATAAAAGATGTACCATCTAATCCTCTCGAATTTGAACATAAGTTTGTGCAAATAATTAGCATTACAGACAAAGCATACCTGGAAAGTCCACGGTATTTAGAGATTCCTCTTGAAAAGCCACTACTCTTTCTGCAGGAAATGTATACATTAATATCAGCACCAGACACAGTTTAAAGTATTCTGTTCAGAGTAGATGAGTAGACAAATACCTCCGAAGAGATGCCAGGTATTCCTCCCTTGACACATTCTGCATTTCTTCAAGGTCTCTTGTATAATCAGTAACCTGCACCACACAATTACTATACAATATAAATAAAAGCTCAAAATATAGGGGAAAAGGACACAAAAACCCACATGCAGAAAATCACTAATAACAGAAAATTCATTTTGTACCAAGTAGATAGTTGAACAAGAATGTGAATATTTCATACTTAGTACCTCATTGAAGCGAGAAGGAAAGCAAAAAATTTTTGAAAAGGAGCTCATTCATAAATAATGAAATAAATCCATATTTGCATTAAACTGACACATATAGAACATGGCTTCTGACTAAAATATGGGTGATCGTTTATGACAAAGGGAAAAAGGTTCAACTTGGGAATCTCACTGGAAAATTAATGAGTGTTCCGGGGCCCCAATATTTTAAGGCAGCAAGATCATATGCTCTGGCTGCAGCCTCCTCATCATCATATGCCCCTGCAAGTTGATATTTCTCAATAAATGCATCAAGTATGAACTAACAAAGCCAAAAGCATATATCTAAAGAAATAGTGCCAAGCAAGCAACTTACCCAAGTATACTGGAATAATGCATCACAGCAATCATTCCATGCACAATAATAGTCAGTAATTAGTGTCAGTCGACAGAATCATACAAAAGAGAGAGAAAAGAGACAAAGCAAGAGAGAGACCTTGCTTTCCCTTCTTGTTCTGATTCTGGTTCCATGTACTTTTGTCCCAGAGGTGAGCTTCATATCGACCAGTCCATCTATGTCTAAAATTCCATGAACCACAAAACCAAAATCATTACCCTCCAATATTTGTGTTTGCACTGTCAATTTTGGAATCTTGAATAAAATTCATTGTTTGCTTCTCTCTCAGATGCTTTTAGAACAATGAAACAAACTACAACTAATTAAGAGTTAAATTTAATTAAATTCAACCAAAAAACTATATTTTTTCTATTCGCCAAAAATACATGTATATGTACCTAGTGACACCACGGTAAATAGAGCTGCGTTTACCGGCTGTGCAAGGAGGCATCTTGCTTATACGTTCTTTAGCAGTGCAGCCTCTCTCTTTCTTAGGTTTCTTTAGCCCTCTATACAGTAACAGCTGATCATTAGCTATTACTGCCTCTGAACTCTCTCCACCTCCACCGGCGCTACCACCACTACTGCCACCGCCGCCGCCCAGTTCTGGTTTCAAGCAAGGATCCGAAGAAGAGGAAGCCATAAGGAAAAACAAAACCCTAACCCTGAGAAAGAGATTGAAGAGTTGAGAATAGAAAATTAGAATATTAGGATTAGACAAGTGAAATCAAATGCTTTCGGTTTTCAACTATTGAGCTGAGAAAGAGAGAGTGAGTGAGAGTAGTTATGGGGGGTTAAGATGAAATGACGTACAAGCCCTCAATGGGTTTTGGAATGACAGTGTGGGCGTGTGGGGTCGTTAAGGGTGAAAAGGGTTTGTAACGGCTAGGATGGGGACATGGGTGTTTTGGTAATTTAATGTGTTTTGAAAGATTGTGTTTGCATCAGACTGTTGGCATGTGTAGAGCAATGCCACTTGTCTGCTGTTAGAAGGTTTATGACTCGTAAGTATGAGCACAAAACGACATGGTAGCCATTCATTGGGCTCCACAAATGTAGGGTCTCACATGGTGGGTGGGACATAGACAAAGGCAGGAAGTAGGAAGTAGCATGATAAATAGGGCCCATCCTTTTTATGTTTTCTTTCTGTCTCCTTGCACCAAGCAACTAATGATTTGACATAATTAGAATAAAAATTATTTATAAAAAATCAATAATTTTAAAAAATTATTTTATCATGTCATTTTATCTCCGTTAAAATTGATTAACTATTAAAGCTAATTTGGTTAGTAAAAAAAAAAAAAAAAGGATTTAACACAGTAAATAGGAAAGAGCTATGGCTATTTTTGCATCAAAGCTAATTGAAAGGATTTAATACAATATATATTTTTAATTAAAATTCATTGTTCGGTTATTGAAAAAAAAAATGCCAAAATGGATTGTAAGAAGAGACCAGTTAAATTTGATACATGAAGTTTTTACTAAATTTTATAATAATATGAAAAATTTTATTCGAAAAAAAAAGTATAATTTGTTGAAAGAGCCTGTAAGAAATATCCACTTGTATTTTCAGTTGACAATTTCTTTATCCCTATTTTTTATTTTTAAAAAATAAAGAAAGAAACCTCATCAACCTTTTAAATTATAATGAATCTAACCTTAATCCAGTAAATTCGAAATTCTTACATCTCAGGATGGAGAATCACTCCAGTCCAGGCACACACATGGAAAGAAAATAGCCTGCATTTCATCCATATTATTTAACTTGATATTAATTTCATAAACAAAACAACTCCATTTTACCAACTTTATTTAAATTATTTTTACCCTTTTGTTATTTGAACACAAGGGGCCAAAAAGATGGTATTTGATTATTCTATTACAAAATGCAAAAGGTGATTCTTCTATCCCAAAAAAAAAAAAAAAAAAAGACAATTCTGGTATCCCTATTTTTTATTTTAAAAAAATAAAGAAAGAAACCTCATCAACTTTTTAAAATTATAATGAAAATCTAACCTTATCCAGTAAATTCGAAAATTCTACATCTCAGGATGGAGAAATCGACTCCTCCAGGCGGACTACATCAGGAAGAAAATAGCCTGCATTTCATCCATATAGTTATAACTGAGTATTAATGTCATAACGAAAGCGAAGATCGTCACGATTCTTTACCAACGTTTATTTAAATTATTTTTACTTCTTTTGTTATGTGGTGAACACAAAGGAATGCCCAATAAAGATGGTAATTTGATGGGTATGTCGTATTACAAAATGCAAATGAAGTGATTCTTTATCCCAAAAAAAAAAAAAAAAAAACACTCCACCCATGAACACTGTTTTTCCAACCATGAAAGCGTTGCCATTAGAGCCCTATTTATTCTGCCTGCCAAGTCTTCTATCCAAAAAAAAAAAAAAAAAAACACTCACTTCCATGACACTGTTTTTCCAACCATGAAGCGTTCCTAGAGCCTATTTATCTCTGCCTGCCAAGTCAAACAAACTCTCTGCATATCTCCATTATGCCTGATATCTTCCCCCAGCAGCATCAACTTTCAACAGGAAAATCTACGGCGGTAGCTGATTTACATATATGAAATGTGGCATACCTGAGCTCTAATATTGCCCGTATTAAAGAAAGGCAATCGTGATATTGCCTCAAATTGAGTGGCACGAGCAACTCATGCAAGTTGTTGCTTCTGTAATGCCGTCCCACTTGACCGGTATGAAGCTAGAAAAGCAAGAATCTTCACACTTGGGTAGATAAAATTTGATTCCCATATTTTCTTCTCAATGATTCTGGAAAGATGCATAGTGTCATTACAGGAGCCTGAATATATAGACAATAACATGAAGATACAAGATGGAAGCTTATGAAGCAGAAAATTGCATAGCATTTATGCTGATCTCATTGCAAAACACCACCCAGAAAAAAAAAAAAAAAAAAAAAAAAAAATAAAAAAAATTAAAAATATAAAATAGTAGTGTTAACTTTAAGCATAATCTAGACTACATGCATTAGTGAGTCTCCATTAATAGAGTCATTTCCTAGTGTGTCATGCCAGTCTTCGATCTCCAATTAAAATCAAATTCCTGCAGCATTTCATACCATAATATTGCAGAGACTATTACCACATTGTCAAAAATAAGTCAAGATTTACATACTTAATTTTGAGAGGCCAACAGTACTATCGATTTTTCATCTCCCGTGAGGATATGAATACATTGAGTTATTGAAATATCATTATTGATATACCTAAGATATTAATACTACTTCGGTACATATTATCCATGATATAATTTCGGCTAGAATAGCTCTTGTGCTGCAAATGCGTTATAATGCTACATATTTTCCTTCGCAGCCCATTATAAGAGATGAGTGTTTATAAAAAAAAAAAAAAAAAAAAAAAAAAAGTTACTTTGCAATTAGACCAGCATTAGAGTCCCATAATAGAGTCATTTCCTATTGTTATGCCAGTGCTCCGATCTCCAATTAAATCGAAATTCCTGCATTTATACCTAACAGACAACCACATTGCAAAAGCAAGAACCATTGAGAGGCCAACAGCTCGTTTTTTCATCCCCGGTGGAAAAGAAAATGTTAATACATATACCAAATTCTCTGCCATTACCAACATTATTCCTGAAAACCTTGCTGCAAATGCTATAAGCCTAATATTTTCCTCCAGCCCAATAAACTATTTATGCAAAAAATAAAAATAAAAATAAAAATAAAAGACTGCAATTGCTGATTCTTGTACTTTATTATTAAACATATCGGTTACAGAGATCTACGTGTATGCCCAACAGTTAAGGACAATTGAAAAAACTCACAGATTGGGCTATCCATGTAGCAATAGTATCATGATGTATGTTTATATAAATACACTAATGCAACTAAAATATATGTAGTAATTGAACAAAATAGCACCTCATAGAATCCTTAGTTCCCAACTTTTAGTGGTTGCTCAGAATTTAGATCATGCTTAGGGCACTATGAATCTTGTGTGTTTAATGAATACTGCCTACAATTCCTATCCTAAGCTTCTAATCTACCTAATCTTTGAAAAGAACAAATCATAAAATCCTTTGTTCCCCTTCCTCAGTATTTCCTCTTCTACTTGGTATGCACTCTGTTCTGCTGGAAAAGAAAACCTATTCATTGGATATGTGACAGTAAATATTTTATAGAATGGGATAATCACACAGCTACTGCAAAGATACTTTCATTGGGTGGAAGATCTGGCTTGAGATGCCACATATACACCAAATCTGTTGTCCATAAAACACATAAGCTTTTCAATTTTTTCCACGTACAACTGCCGACACAAATTTGGTTTTTGTAGACCTGCTTAGTGATCGTTAATGTACAAAGTTCAAATATTCAATTTCTACCATTTTATGCATTCTAGCCCAATTCAAAACACAAATCTTTCATCATATATAGGGTTGGAACTTGGAAGCAACACATTGCCAACAACAAATCCAAAATGCTAAATCTGAAACAGAAATTCATAAACTCAATAGAGGCCACATTTTTGGGACTAAGGAAAACTAATGGAGGATGAGGTGGCTAGCTGAGAAGAAAAATCTTTCATGTATAATAAATAAAACCATGTAATTCAGAACAGATAATTTCCCAGCAAGAGAGATAAGCATCTGCATACCAATTTTTTCCTGCATGGTAGCGGCGTATTCAGCTCCACCACTTTTTTGCACATAAGATAATATATCTTCATGCATTTCACTTGAAGGTTGCATTCCTGCATCCTCCATCCATTCCAATACCTGCATTAAAAATTGATGAGCTTTTCTTTTCTGTTTATCAAATCACACATTAAACCAAGGCAGAAGAGTATGTTTTCGTGCCTTTTTGGGAAAACAATGAGGGGAAAAAGCAACCGCTAAAAATTGCATGTCTGTGACATTTGCAACAAAAAGACAAGCAGATTGTATAAAAACGAAAGCTATAATTTATATCTACAGAAAGATATAAGGAGCAGCAAACTTTATCTGCTAACTCAAATGAAGCAGTTCCAAACCTAGACATTTGCTTGCTATTATCACATCTATTGGATGCTGTTTGCTCTTCATTCTATTAAGACATAAAGACCGTTCTCAAAAGGCACATCCAAACTCAACAAAGGACCATTAACAATTGCATAGTTATATGACATGTTTTAATTACTCAATTCTGTTGTACTAGCATTTAACAATGTCTAGAGCATGTGTCCTATAAATTTAAGAAATACATTAAAACATTTAAGCAAGAGTTCAGAACTGAAAATGAGAATATAAATCCTACGCATGCTTTTCTCTTTCTCATAAAAAAAGTATGAAATTAGATGATGCAAATGAAACAAAAATATGAAAAAAAAAAAATTACCTCAAAATATTTTCTCCAATTTCCAACAGCCAAAAGATTCTTCAACAAGATTGAATAAGTGTTCAAGTTGATTGCAGCACTTGACACTGTAATCTTGTAAAACAACTGCATTGACAACAAGACATCAGTAGTGCAAGATTAGATAAACAAAAAACAAAGAATATTCCTAGTACATTGGCTGCCCAGCATCCTTCCAACATAGCTTAGGATCACATATAATTTCAAAATCCAAAATTAATTGAATATGAAAACCAAATGAAAGAATAAATGAGCCATACTTTAGCTAGATTGCAATATGCTGTTTCAGAAGCATAATTATGATACAAACATTTAAAAACATTCATTTACCTTCATCATAGACTCAACCTTTCCACTCTTTCCAAGAAGATGAAGAAGTTGATTCAAAATTCCAATAGAAATTACAGAGAATGAAGGCTCCATCAATTTCATCAACTCAATCGTTTTCCTCCAATCTCGTAATCTGCAACCAAATTCAAATGTTAGTCATACAGTGAACTAAGGATCATGATGCACTCAAAGAGCAAGAAACATATGATGTCCACCTAGGCAAGTCAGGAAAAAAAGGCTGCTATAAAGAAGATTCTAAACCTCTACAGGGTAATACACGTGAAACAAAGCTAAAAGAAGCAACACGGGTAGTAACCCACAGCACAATCAACATCACCATGATAGAGTAGGAAAGCACAAAGCGCAGGGCAGGTCAATGCAGGATTGTATCTCCTTTGAACCTTCCATAAATAACATGTGTTGTCAAAGCAGCCAAAGAGCCTCATATAGGTTTAGACAAGCAACTAGGCAAACTTGAGATGCTGACCTCATACCCTCATTGCCTATTTGTTTATTACTTTCTTGTCACTTGTTAAATTTACTTGTCATTGGTGCTCAACAGCAAAAGTGTGCCAAAACAAGAGGTGTTGCTTATAAAATGTAAAAGTTAGCATGTAAACCTCACTATTACTTTTGGTAGGCAAAAAGGAATGCAGTTGCTACAAGTAGAAGAAGGCCAACGACAAAAAAGCAAATTATCAAGGCCAACGACAAAAAAGCAAATTATCGAAGAAGAAAGGGGCATGCGTCGTAGGAATTCTCGTGCTAGAAGCTTGAGTAGATTGGTTTTATGATTTTATATCTACTGCTTTTGTTTATTAGTTTAATGTTCTTTTGTTAACTGTATGTACAATAGAATATGGAACTTAACTTTTGAATACAAACCTTGATGCAGTGATGATGCCTAACACTGCCAAAATTCAGTCATTACAAGGACATGCAAGCAATGCCAAAAGAAATTATTCCACTGTGCCAAAAAAATGACAAACATAATGGCATAATCTTATTACAGCAACAATCCGAGAGTTATCCCACACGACAGAAAGAAATACCATGAAGGACGTATATCAATGTCTATGTAAATGTCTCCAATTATAAATTTTTGAATTATAGTACATCGCCACATGAAAGAGAAAGAGTAAACTAAAAGCAAAAGGAAAAAAAAAAAAAAAGGAGGGGGAAGAAAGCCACGTATAAGGCAAGTATTAATAGTGAAATGAGTTCCTGTCAAGCGTTAGAAACCTCCATACTTGGTTGCATAAAATACTAAACTGCAAGAAAGAGTAGGGAGCTTCAAGCTTAATTATTAATTAACCATGGGTGTTACTTTTTTTTTCCAACTATTTTTCTCTATGATGAGTAGATATTTGCTAAAAATAAATTCCACAGGTTGAATAAGTAATATAAGAGAAAAGAAATATACAGATCAGTATTCATTTCCATTCACAGTGTGCAAATCAGCCATGCAAATACTTTCATGAATAAGGTTGAATCATGCAATAGCCAGGCCTATCAAAGCGATGAAAAAGAAAACAACAGCAAAAGACAGCTACAGGCACCTCTAATTTTCTAGTTCTTCATTTGGAATAGAACAAAATAAGAATGACAACTTACAGGCTACAGGCTGAAACCATTTCAAAGAATATAGCATCACTGAAGGGAATTTCTTTCTCTTTCATGAAATCCGCCAGAACAAGAACCTGCATTGGCTTGCCTCCTTTATTGAATGCTCTCATCAGAGCAGAGCATGCAACTGTATCTAGCTGGATATCATATTCTTCCATTTCTTGAAGTAGAGTACAAGCTTTTTCCCAGCATTCTGAAATCATATAAAATGAAAGAAAAAAAGTTTCAGAAGCAGGCACCTAGAAAAACATGAGGGTGACAAGTGCCTGAAAATTGAATGGATATGATTGATATGCTCATAGTACTTTTAATAATGTTAAAGACAAATTTTTTATTTCTTATATTTGTTTTGCTACTTCATCAGAAACCCAAGCAAGGTACCATTTTTAATCAACAATATCTTTTTTGGCTTATTTTACTTAAATAAAATGAAATGCACGCACTCATCAGTAGTCCGACACTCAAACTTACCTGCAGCATTGTAAGCATGTAATATTGTGGTATATGTAATTATGTCAGGAGGACAACCAGCCATCTTCATCATGCTGAAAATAGATTCAGCTTCTGTGACTTGGCCCTAAAGTATATCAACAGCGAGAGAGAGAGAGAGAGAGAGAGAGAGAGAGAGAGAGAGAGCGAGAGATAAGTTTTCTGTCATGTTATAAATATAGTAAGACACATCTCTTGCTAAAGCACTTGCCTGCTTACTGTAGGCACATATAACAGTTGAGTAAACCTGCTTGGTCAAAGGAATTTTCAGATCTTTCATGTCTTCAAAAAACTCAAGTGCCTCGCCATATTTTGACATCTTGCAGCAACCACTTATCAAGACAGTGTAAGTAACAGAATCTGGCATCACCTTTTTTTTTCTCATGGATTCGTACAAAGCTATAGCCTTTTCATATTCCCCCACATTCATATAGCTTCCAATAGCTGAATTATATGCAACTCTGTTCAATTTGATGCCTCTCATTTTAGCTGCTGAAAGCACAGCATCAATATTCACCTTCTGGCCACAGCGGCCACATGCTGCCAAAAGAGTAGAAATGGAAACAATGTTTGGGTGAACACCATACTGCTCCATTTCTCGTAACACTCCCACAGCTTCAGCTAACAAACCATTAGACCCATAAGTATCAATCAGTGCATTGTAGCTAACAACATTTGGCTTTAGCTTGTCTCTCCTCATCATGTCAAATACTCCCCTTGCCTTTTTAGGTTGTTTTGATTTCCCGTAAGAACTAAGCAATGAAGTATAAGAAACGATATCTGGTTGAAATCCACTTGCTTTTATTTCGTTAAAAGTTGACAATGCCTCCTCACTCATTCCATGGGAAGCATATGCTCCCACCAAAGCATTATAGGAAATGATGTTGGGCTTCAGACCTTCTGCAAGCATACTATCAAACAAAGCCTTACAATTTCCAATCTGCCCACTCACAGAATATAAGTGGATGATGCTTGTAAATGTTACAATATCTGGGCGACACTCTGATCTCTTCTCCCTCATGGAATTAAAAATATCAATGGCTTTCTCATATTGACCAAGCTTTACTAAGCAATAAATCACAATGTTAAGGGTTGTCGTATCAGGACGAATATTTGTTCCTTTCATTAATTCAAAATAAGACAAAGCTTTTGAATGCTGACCACCAGTTTTGTATGCAGATAAAACAATATTATGAGTCACCATATCAGGACCAACTCCATTTTCAGTCATTTTCTTGCAGACTTTCAGAGCCTCTCTCCAATTTCCACTAGAGCCACAAGCATTGATCAAGTTATTATATGTTGACCGACAAGGGGGAATCTGCAGGAATAGGACTATTAAGGTCATAGACATCTTTTCCCATATGATATGGACCTCCAGAAAAGTTTTAAAATGTAAATCATACATACACAACATTTAGAAAATATAAGAACAAGACAATGGTCTCCCTCTCTCTGTCATGCGACATTCATGTGCATGAATATGCAGAAGATATCAAGAATGGTACTGGCATTGGATAACATTTTTTCAGGAAGCACCAATCCAGAAAACATATGGAATAAGGAAGACAACATATATAATGCAAAAACCATTCACAAGAAAATTCGAATATCAATTAACAATGCATATTCCAGCCGTGCAATATCTGTCGGTCAAAAATTTTCAAATGCTTAAAATTAGTAGAAATTCACACTTTCATGTGTCAGTCAAATCCCTTACCCCAAAAATCTAGGGAAAAAATGCTATAAAATAGGCATGTGGAAACCAAAAAATTTCAACACTGTTGATGTTACTGTAAGTCAGTAACTAATCCCCAATGTTAAGTGTGCCAAGGTGTTGCAAACGCATCTCTGCATATGCCATTTTAACATGAAAAGAAAAAGAAGGAAGCTCACATTAAGTTAAAGCACTATGATTGACTAGGGAAGAAAAGATCAAATACACACAGCTTCGCGTAACATGTCTTCCATTATATTCATAGCCCAACGCCATTGACCTGCTCTTCCATGTCCATTGATAAGAGCATTGTAAGTTTCAGCATCTGGTTTACACCTGGCAACGAAAATAAATAATATGGAATCATGATGTCACTATAAAGGAATGTTCAATAGATGGCCAAAATTAGTTATATATCACAACCTCCGCTCCTTCAGATATAAATTTATCTATGACCCTTAAATAATATTTTTAATGGCAAAAAACATAAACTAGAACTCTATGGGCTAAGAAAAGCAAAGCCAGCATTTTTAACTCAAAACTATATAACGCAGCAGCTCCAAGTTTATTCCGGAACCTGACCTTTCATCCTCAATAACCAACTGGACCTAAATCCTTGTACTATATTAAACTTGTGGCAATCCCTTACTTCTCGGAAGCAACAATGATTCCATGAGGAACACTGGCTCACCGTATTACTGTTTCTAGTAAGACTCAAGCACAAGTTAAAACTTCCCATTTACAGATATAATTTGTCTCCTTCCTTCCAAATGTAAAGGAAGTTTAAATTCTCTCCCAACAGTTCAATAAAACCAGAGTTCAAAGATATCATAGGTACGAATAGCAGTCCTAGCAATAGATGAATCTATTGTAGAGAATATTATTACTTTGAACTTTGAATACGCTGAAACCTGCAAATACAGCACATGAAAATAATAAGCATACCTCCATTCTTGCATCTCAAAGAACAAACCACGTGCCTGATCAATGCGATTATGTCTAACAAGCAGCCTGATCATCATATTGTACATATCAACGCGAGCACAGTAATTCTTTTGTTTTTTCATCCAATAAAATACTAGAATGCTGTGCTCCAATGAGCCCCTTTGCGTTAACTCCTACATGACCCATAACAATTGAATAAATTAATTGAAACCCAATTGAATTTTGCATTATTCCTGTCAAAATCAAACCCTGAGGCTTGACTGAAGAGATGTTTACTCTGATAAGACGAGGGAAATTCTTTCGCGCGAAACGGCCGACCCAATGATTAAGAAGATATTCAACGTCATCGTTCTTTGGATCGAGCTCGAGAATTTTGTCGACGACCTGGGACAGACTCCAATCCTTCTGGAACCTGTCGCCTTCGACTTTTAAACGGTACCGTTTTTGAAGGTCGGATTTCCTGATTCCAGACACTTCAGTGGATACATGATGTTGGCCAGTGTCGTAGTCTACGGATACCGATTTCTTCTCTTCAAATGCTGCTTCATTTTTCGCCTTCTTACAGAAAATTTTAGGTGTGACGTATATTGGAGAGGAGTTGAGCAGCGGCAACGGGCGGAGGTAGTGTGTTACCGCCATTTCTGGTCGAGAGGGAAGTGAGCGTGAAACCAGTGTGAATGGATGAGATACCAGGATGATAAGAACTTTTCTATTTCTAACTTGTCTAAATTACAGTTATAGCCTTATAAACTGTTAAAGAATCTTATATAAAGGCAAATACATAAAAATACCCCTCGTCTTTACACATTTAACCGTGTCAATCTGCAGCAAATTAAACTTTAAGGAGGCTTATTAAGTCTTTTACGTTATAAAATTATAAAATGCATCCCTCAACTTATTGTTTAAAAACCTGAGGACCCTCAACTTTAGCCATATCTTGCTTCAACAAAAAATCAATTATATCCAATGACTATACAATCAGCGAAGGCCTGCTCAAACTTATATCCAATTCAATTCATATATTCATTGAAGAAACAATGGCAGACTCGTGAATTTCAGAACACTTGATAAAATTCAAAATAATCAAGATTTCAATAAGTTTCAAACATTAGACTACATAGTTTCAATTGTACAAGAAACACCAAAACGCATATAGCCACTAGCTTCTTCGACAAAATTCAAGAATCGATCGCGTAGTCCTGCTCGTCTCGTTCCCATGGAAACTTGCAATGCCACCGACCTTCAGTGTCAATGTTCTACAACTAGACACCTCTTGGACAAAAGCAGAGCTTAGTCTTAAATGACAAACTTCAAGTGCTCAGTCTGCGTTGAATGACAATCTCTGATCAGAATCTATATCTTTGTTGAGCTCACATCATCCATGTCAAATGACTTTGAGCTTGTGCAAATCAGTCCTCATTTTCTGTTCCTTTCCAACTCTCTTCTGTGTTTGTGCAATTTGGAGGCAGATCCAGGTCAATGAACTATCAAGTGCCACACTAGTCACGACTTTCGTTTTTTCCCCCCAAATTTATCGTGTCTACGAAATTTGGCCGTGTTGCCTTCCTTGTTCAGATTACTCCGCTCCTTCCTCTTTTTCCCACTGTTAGTTTGTTCATCAATAAAATTCCTCTTTTTTCTAATATCTGCTGGTTGACCTGTAGTTGATTCTTCATATTTAGAGGGTCTAGCTCTCTTAGCTCCTTTAGGTCCACGATCATTGCCACTTGATTTATGAAGCTTCCTTGAGGTAGGAGTCTCATTTTCCTTATTTTTCCTCTTTCTCTTCCTATGAGGTGCAGAACCATTTTCCTCGAAGGCTGAACTCAATTCTTTGTGCTTCTTATCCACCCTAGAAAAGTGAAGGTTCAACAGTCAACAGAAATTATATGAAATTCTCAGTCTGTAGTCTTTTCTTTGAATAGGGAAATGAAAGAGGAGAGGTTTTCAAGTAAAAGTTGCATTGAAAGAACAAATGCCCACAACCATGGGAAATATGAAGAGAAATATCAGAAACAACATTCAAAAGAACTGCGATATTTGTCGGACCTCTTGCCAGAAGAACCTGCAACCACTGTTTCCACATCATTTGAGACGGCTTCCTTGGAAGTTGACTTGTGATGACGATTCTGCACAGGTTAGCTATTGAAGTCAGCACCATGGGCATCATAAAATATAATGAAGTTAGACTAAAAATTTTACCAGCAGGAATATTGGGTCCTTGCTCAACTACATAGTTGTTATCGTTGAGGACATTGCTGGAATGCATGTTTGTGGGCTAATGTAAGAAAAAAAATCATATGGGCTGCATACATATAGAAAAAATATAGTTTTTTTTCCAAGAAAACCGGAAAACAAAGTTTCATGTCAAATCTTTTAGTTTTCTACTCTTTCAAAATTAACTAAGATTTGGAAAAACATTTAAGTTGTTGTACACAGTTTTGCCTTTATAACAAAAGTCATGTTCTACAACTGTTTTCCATATAAGAAAAACAACTTTTTCATTATAAAAATATTAACACAAATATATAAAAAAATTTTTAGAAAAATATTTGAATAACTTAAATTAAATGTCTTTTTTAAATTTTATCCTATACTTCAAAATGTAATTATTCTTATTATCACATAAAAATATATTTCTAATGATAACATTTATTTTCAAAAAATTTTACAAATGATGAATAAGTGAGATTATTATTATTAATAAACTAATCAAGAAGTGATATTATAACTACTAAAAAATTATTAATACATATTTAAAAAGTTGTAAAATAAAAAAATTCTAATTTGTTTATTTCTTTTAGTTATGAAAATTGTGAACAATTTTTTGAATTGAAATATTTTTTTACTATTAAAAATGAATGGGTTTTCCATTTTCTAAAATTTTCTTAGAGAATTATTCTGTTCTCTATAAATGAACGCGCCCTCAGTGTTTCTTTCATATTGGGCTAATGATTTCATAATTCCTGAACTTCACACATTTTTCCAATTCTGTCGTATACCTTAAGTTCTCTCAGGTTAACAAATGAGGCGGCGAATTGGTTTAAATTGTATGCATGTGGCACGCAACATGTGGCCACATTGAATATATAGCTCAAATTGAAAAGGAAATGTGAACATAATTCACTAACTTAAAATACATAGACCCCCCCCCCCCCTCATATTGGGCCTAAATGATTTCATAATTCCTGAACCTTTCACACATTTTTCCAATTCTGTCGTATACCTTAAGTTCTCTCAGGTTAACAAATGAGGCGGCGAATTGGGTTTTTAAATTGTATGCAATGTGGCACGCAAACAATGTGGCCAAACATTGAATATATAGCTCAAATTGAAAAAGGAAATGTGGACATAATTCACTAACTTAAATACATAAGACCCCCCCCCCCCCCCTTTCCCTCTGAGCCCGAAGAACCACAAACAGCAGTGTTCTCTTGAACCTACATAAAAATGTCCATATTTTGAGAAAATACCACAATTTGGTTACTTTTAGAGCTCAGGAGGGCCAATTCCTTCTACAATAGAAAGTTATGTTGATATTTGCCTTAAGTTTCAGTGCTACATTGCATGAGAACATCTTTCATAAAATTGAAATAACAGGATATAATTATCTTTAGGATTATGAGATGATTAAGCTTTCCTTGTTTAATGAATTAATGGGCAACACTGAGGAACACCAAAAAGAAACGAAAGAGGCAAGTGGAGTTAAAGAAATCACGAACATAGAAAAATACAAATATCATAGAAAAGAAAGAAAGAAAGAAAGAAAGGGCGTCAATCAATTATGGGAAGCTCATGTGCTAACTTTGGGTAATAACTAGTGCATGCTTGACAGATTGAGCTACTAATTAATCAGTTGCCTACAGAAACAAGCCCCAGCAACTCTGGGATCACGCAAACCCATAAAATCCCACTGCTGAACTATCAGATCTGACTATTTCAGGTGACAAAATCCTAGGGCCGATATGTATAAAGCAAGTTGTATTGAGATCAAATGAATGTGCCAGAAATCAAAACACAAGCAAAATTGATTAGGCAACATGTACAATTGAAAGAATGAAATAGAAGGAAAAATACCTGCAAAACAGTCTTGACAAAATTTTTGTACTTTTCAGGTGTAACAAACTCAACTGCAGCAGAACCACATTTCCGTATCATGATTTCCAGTATTACCGTCACCTGAAGATAAAAAAACATTAACATGACCTCACAAATAGACAGATATAACAATATATGTTATGTATATATACACAACTAGAGAAGTTCTCATTTTTTTTTTTTTCCTTTCACAAGTAAAAGCACCAAGCCAAGGTTTGACATGCCTTGGATCTAAAATGAAATCTGGAAACAGTTGACCACAGGAGAATTCCGCTGGTGATATCAGATAAAAGATTCTGCAGGTCATTAGCTTGCAGGGATGATACTATCACTTTCACAAAACCCAAAGCAGCCTGTTTAATGTCACAGTAACCAGTTCATTAGCATCAAGAGCAAAAGAATAAAAAATTATCACACAAGAAGTAAACACTTACTTTTATGACTTCTACAGCTTTGTTTTGCAGCAAAGACAAGAGAGAGGGAACAAGATCAGGCATCTTTAAACATACGTCTGCATCTTCGTACACGAGTGCAGACAGTGCAGAAACTGCTCCACTCTTTATGTGAGGAGATGGGCCCGAAAGATAACCCATTATCTGTAAATCGAGCAAGAATTTAGAAACCATTATGGTAGTATTCTGTAGCAAAGCAACAAAAGTAGAAGTTCAAGTCATCACTAAAATTGGAGCAACTACAGAAACCCATAATGAAGAAATCAACAGATCATTGTCATCATAAGGTGCAACCAGAATTTATTTTCGTTCTAAAAATCCATCCTCAATTATTAGAACATTTTTTTCCCCTTGATTAGACGGCCCAAAATATTTTACTAATTTAAGACATTGTACATTTAGTTCTTAAGTACCATTATATGTACAATATAAAGAGGACACCAAGGTGTGATACATTGCTGCACGTCCCTTTCCATAGATCATGAATGCATTAAACCAGTCCAGTAAGAAGTGGGACTTTCTGACACAGAAAAACAACTTGGAACACACAACCTAGCAGAATTTCTTTTAGTAAAACATTGGTTAAAGAGATAAGAAAGCAAACATGCATGCCTCAAATTAAAAAGCCTGAATTTAAAGGCTCCTTCATCAGAGGTAACATAAAAAAACTAGCTAGAGAAAAGATTCCCTTGCGACCTTAATTAAGAAAAGCCAATTACCTATAGATCAGTCACTTTAGCAATTGAACATATAAACTTAATATATGACCAGAAAAGACCATGATGAACTGTGTCTATACTTGCATCAACGGAAGTTCAGTTTTTTTGGCTTAAAATGCAAGTAGTTTTTTATGAGTCTTTTTCAGATATTTTCCTCCCAATTGTTTCAGAGGATAAAACCCCAATTATGATTTTCATTAAGGTAGGAATTCCAGATAGTCTTCTTAGTTCTCCAAAATGATTATTCCAACAGTCAATGCCACACAAGGTAATCATACTCCATTAAAAGATGCACAATAGTATAGCAATAAGCAAGCCAGCAGGGTGCTTTTCCAGCAATATGGATGAACCTTATGTGGTTAACAGGGATAAAACAAAATGAAACTTCATTTAGCAACATTAACAAAGCAAAACAAGTAAGACACTAACCATACTGATAAGTTTGTGATAAGATTCTTCAGAACCAGCAGATGATGAGTTTCTGAAAGCAGAACTTATCACAAGAAGTGTGTCATATGCCACCTTCCTAGCTTCATCCTTTGCCTACATATCAATGAATCGATGCATATCATTGTCTCATAAATCGTGTCAACAACATTGTTAAAACAATAAAAGTTGAAACAGTCACACACTACAACAATACATAAAGCAAAAAATAGCAACAAAATCGTTGGGGACTCTATTACAGTTCTTAGTTCACTAAGAGAAGACCTAAATTTGTTTATCCAAAATCGTAGGTAGTAGAATAACTAACAAGATAATCTTTAACATCAATTTAGACATGCATCAACCAGAAATTTCATTTTGTGAAAGAAAAAAACCAAATAAGTAGAGCTATAACCATTCTGATATGTAGTTATTTGCATTTTATATTTGAAGTTTTTAACAAGCTTGTCTTAAGAATCTTAATATTGGAATCAAGTTAAACAAAAAGAAAGAAAAGAGAAAGCAAGAGAATGAGAAAGCAATCTATATTGGCATGTGTCATCGTTTATCTTAACATGCCATAATTTTAACATGGGAACACAAAGCATAAAGACAGAAAGCATGAAGAGCTTGCATGCAGAGCCGAAGAGTGCACTGACTCATTATCTGTAACTGGAAAATATAAACAAAACCAACTGTACTCATAGAATTATTTTTTTATTTGGAGCACTTACATCCTTTAAAGTGAGTATGATCTCATTGAGCATAAGAAAGGCCTTTGCATTTTCCTCCTCCAAGCTTATCTGCACACAGTATGTAAAAAACATGGGTATTTGAGTAGAGAGTAATTCAAAGAAAAAGAAGATGAAAAAGAAGTAGAGAGAGTGTGGAAAAAGAGAAGACCTTCACCTCTAACATGTGAACCATAAGAATGTGGAAGCAAGCAAATCGATTCCTTAGAGATGCAACATCAGTAGGAGGCTTCTGGCTAAGTAGCAAGTCTATCACCTCCCCATATCTAGAAGAACAAAGCCAGGCATGTTCCTGCAGGAGACCATAAAAAAGCTGAAATTTCTAAAAGTATGAGCTTTTATGAATAACAATTTGAGTGTAACAAGATGCCAGTACAAACCTTCAAAATTCTGCTTAGTGCATTGTATGCTTCGCAATGACAAAGCACATCAGTTTCCTGAATACAGAACATCCATAAATGATTGTTTAGATGTATCAATTCACCACCAAAAATTTAAAAAATATATATAAATACACACACACACACACACACACACACACACATATGTCGTCTTGGGCAGGTTACTTCTACCTTCACTATGTGAACAACATAGTTATATATCAGATTGATGAGATCTTCTTTGGCTCCTTCAATGAGAGAAGATGCTAATTCCATTATCACACACCTGTACATTTACCAAGCTTATCAATAAGTTAGATTCAAGGGGCTCCCAAGTCCTTACATATTTTTGCCACAGCTAAAAACCAGATTGCTTCAATGTTTCTTACTTCATGAGGAAGAAAGGACAAAAATAGCAGATAATGATGCAACTCCTAGTCAAAGGATTGTAAATCAGGACACTCATTGAAGAGCTAGAAGCGATAGAAACCAAAACATACTACTAATAAGCAAGTCACAATTGGAATATAAATTTTGGACTGCATCTTAATAATCAACAACTCGCCTAAATAGTAGCAAGAAATTTAAAAAAAAAAAAAAAAAGGACAATACAAAGCCTACATGGTAAAAGCACCTCTTATCTAGGACATGGGACTGTCTCAGACCACAAGAGTGATTATAACTGTAACGAAGCTTAGTTCCCTTTTTTTTTTATTACTCGGATTTCAATAAAAATGTAGGAATATTTGGTGCTTCCCTATTAATCTCACCAAAATTGGATTCTACCATATTTAGCTGTTTATTTCACACTTTTACAATTCATGATTCTACCTTTCTGCTCCACAGCTTCTACTTTCGCTCTTTTATTGTCCATTCTATAGTTCTTTGTATTTTACAACTCTTATCATTCTATAACTACATGGTACCCACTACCTAGTTTGATTCTACAGACATCCATTGTTTGGCTACATAACATTATCAATCTATAGGGGTTTACAACTTCAAATCCCCAACATTGGGAATCAAAATACTAATTAGACATAGGGACAGGGAGAGGGGGAGGGATCGAGGGACGATTACGGAATCAGGCCAAATATTAATGTCAAGAGGGACTTACCAATATTTTTACTTACTGCATTTCATATTCCCCTATATCCAGCCAACTAAGAAGTTGTAGGAAATGTAATACGAAAGATAAAAATATATATATATATTTGGCGAGAGTCTATTTAGAACCTCACAACATTATTTCTAGTCACCGCTCACTTTCATGGGTATGTTTATACAAGTCAATTAACTGCAAGCTAAACATTTATCTTTCAATTGAGAGAAACCGAAAATTTTCCAGCTTTGCAGAATGAACAGGCTGCAACATATTGGGCTCACTCATATTAGAATTTTATGAGAAATCCAACTTCGTTCAGGAGTATTCAAAAAGGACTTCGAGGAAATTTTTGTTTTTGGTTTGGAAACCAAAATCTCCAATGGAATAGTCCAAGCAATGACAGGTGTAGAGTTATCCAAGTTTATAATCCCTGCGCTTTTAAGTTGTAAAGCTTTATGATTAACTTGTGAATGAATAAATTGATCATTTAAGCTTCTTGAGCTATGTTATGCAATTGTAATGCAAGGCCTACTGGACGCATGATTCCCAGATCCTAGAAAAGTGCAGTAGTAGCTCTATCATGTTTGCTCAATTTGCAACTGTAAAACAGAATCATATATGCCTCAAACACCAAGATTTTACCCTAGGTGTCAAACAATTTCCTGTATCGGATTGCTTCATAATGACAGAATAGAACTTTCCCATTTACCTGTTTACATCTTTCTCCTTTGCACTGATATTGCCTTCTTCTGTACCAATCAACTCATCTCCATGGCTCATCAGATGTTCAAATTCACCCCTGCCATTCACAAGCTGCAACCTCTCAAGCAGTGACATTAAAATTCTCTTGGTGATTGAAGAATCTGTAATAGAAGCCAAGCATCCCACTGCATCCTGAGAAAATGGGATTAAAAAAAATCTTACCGTTAACCGATATTTTGTTTGATCAAAAAGGTAATTATATGAATACACATGAGCATCATTATAACCGATCTCACAACTTAGCAGTCTGCAAGAGAATTATAATTGAGAGTTTTGAATGAAGCCAATCTCATAACTTAAGACTTCAAAAAAATCAAACATTTGACATGGTTGAATGAAACCAATCTCACAACTTGAGAATGCAAATACACACATTTGAGACAGTTGAAGGAAACATTATCTACAAAGAAATTACCCCCAAGGAATGAACCCTTGCAAAACCAAGAGATTTGAGAATAAAAATTGCAATCAGTGAGGAGATATAAAACATTTGTTTAAACACATATTGTCTCCTCAAAAACTTTGAAGTTTTCAAGAATGTTTGATTACTCAATAATATAAAATGGACACAAGAAATCTGCACCGTAACACAATTTCTTGTAAGAGAAGGTAAAAGTTACTAACTTTTTGAGCAAAACAAACAATAAAATTCATCTAAAAAGGAGGGGTGACCCTGTCCATACCAGACAACAACTTGGCATAGCCCAATAAAATCCCAGTCAGTAAATGGGTCAACCTCATCTCACTTGGCATTAACCAAAATTAAACCAACCCACCCTGTGCCTTAAGGCTAAGGTGCAACCCAAACCAAATCCCACTTGCAATAAATGTTTCAAGATCACATCTTATCAACCTAAAAAAGCTAAGTAACCAAATGTTATCCAAAACAACAGTGTAAGATTAGGTTGTGCAAGATTAGGTTGAGAGATTTTCAGTTCAGAAAAGACCATATCCTATAAAATGCAGAAGGCTTAAATAATTATAAATTACGGTATGCAGAAGAAAGGAGAAAGAGATCCTTGTCAGACGATTCCTGTATGCACAGGAAAGAGAATACAAAATCATCTAAAAAGGAAAAATTGGAAGTGCAAAGCATTTAAAAAAAGTGTTATACAGGAGAAACCTTTATATATAAGCGCTTCTCTGCTGGAGAATCAACAAACAAGTCCACCAGAGCTTGAAGCAACTCAGTAGACCATGATGCCAAAGCCCCAATGTTTCTGGTTGCAGTTTTCTTTGAATAAGAGGTTACACTTCTGAACTCCAAAAGAGTATCTGTCGCTGCATTGCTACCCGACTTGCCAGCATTATCTTCAGAGATAAGAGCACTTCTATTTTGACTCACAAGAAGCTGCGAAAAAATAAAGGAACACATCATAATAAGTAAATGCTGAAGAAAATTACATAATAACAATTAAGAAACCAGCCAAGATCAGGAGAGCGAAAAATGAAAGGCCCGGTATATGCTAACAAAAATGGGAAAGAAAAAATTACTTGCAAGGCAACAGCCACATTTTGATGCATGGAAGAATCTTCCTTCAGTAAGGTGATTAGAAGTTCAGCCAAAGACCCAAACTTTTTTTGAGTATCAACAGGATAGTTACAAAAGGAAGGAAGCAGCTCCCAGAGGCCATGAGCACAAGCCAGCAGATCTTGACCTATTACTGATTTTTTAACTGGACCAGAGAGGAAAAAGTAAAAAATGTAAGAACTAAAAGTAAATAAAAGATTGGTGAACTCTATGTTACTGCATATAGTTGTAGATCAAAACATGGAAAATCAACAGAAAGTTTTATCAGTCAACGACAAAAGCTTGCTACACGCTAATTAAGAAACCTACATCATGGTAGAGAAGATTAGATAATTGTATGCCACATTTTGTTACAAATACAGTTCAGGCTCTATGAGAATTTTTCTTCCAAAATACAACCTTCACAGGAAGGTCTGGACCTACAGAATCCACAATAAATATTCTCTTTCTACAACAAAATGAGAACACAAGAAAGGTGGCCTTGTCTGCATCTGCCGATGGCAAATGGGTGGTACCTTTACATATCCAAGCTTCAATTCATACACAGATATGCAAGCAAGTTAATCACTTACGTATATATTTATATCTTTGATTCTCAGCATATTAGTTCCTACATTTGATTTCTAACAAAAACAATGCTCAGTATTTCAGAAAAAGGCAAGGTTGTATATAATTGAAGTAGAAAATTATTTTCATGTCAGGACATACCTTTATGACTGGCTCGCATGAAGGATTTCGCAAGAGGCACAATATGCTCCATGTAATACCTTAGTGAAGACCCAGCAATATGTCTCTTCAATATGGGTACCAACCAGACATTGGAACAAGTAAAATTATCAGCATGAACAGAGATTGGTATGAGTGTGAGTATCCTCTCTGGCCCCATGGCAACCACAGCGGATCCAATGCAATCTCGAAGCTGCAAGGTCATTGAAAAGGGCAAAACAAATGTCAGTAGACATGATTTTTAGAGTAGTATTTAATGTTCGACACAAAAGAAATATATATCTACATGAAGTAGCTCTACATTGAAAAAGAACACATGATAAACCTTCAAATATCAACTATGATTCCTCTAACAAGAACCTTTTTGGACGTGATATGATCATGTTAAGTCAATCATGTGTATCATTACCATCTGATACCATTTCCATTAAGCTTTGGCTTATGTACCAGAAACCTTAGTCTGAGAACCTTCTTGGATGTGATATGATCATCTTAAGTTTATCATCTGGTATCATTTCCATTTAGCGTTGGCTTACGAACCAGAAATCTCAGTTTGACATTGTTGAAGTCTCAAAAGAGTCAAAACCCCATAGCTTCACCTCACTAAACACCATTAATCTAGGCCCCAAATGACTAGTTATACTAGAAACTTTTATGGAAATGGAGGGGGGAATAAATCATTGCTAGTATGACTGGTTGAGAGCAGCGTGAAGTAAATACAATGAATTTGCTAGACAGATTGCTTCTAGATGCGAATTTGCAAGCAAATTTGCACGACAGCTCCTATAAACACTGGTACAATTACCACAATTTTCATAAAACTTACATGATATGTATCGGGCTTATCCTGACTAACACAATTCATCAAGTCAGCAAGCTTGAGAACAAAATTCTTCATGAAGATAAATGAGGCGCTTCCTACAACAAAAGGCACAACATCATGACGAAAAGATGTATCAACCAATTTTAACATACTCATGCAAATAAGTTTTAGCAAATGACATTAAATGCAGGATTCTGTTTCTTTTGGAGAATAACATGACATGATTCTGATATACATGATAAAAAGCACTTTTCTTATGATTGTTACACATTAACAATACCCATCAGAACATCACATCAAATGTGTGAACTGGGAAAACCTGAAAAGTGTCAAAGCTCTTTCAAGAAATCTGATTTTAAGAATGTAAAAAAGAGAGGACATCTCAGTTGATTTATCTCTTACCTAATAGCAGTCAAAAATAGGCTAAATTATATGGTTTATAGATCAATTTCATTTTAACCACAAATCTCCTGGCTATATAAGAGAGAACTTTGAAATCATTTGACTAATTCCAAACACAAATGGATATAGTGCAGTTAATGGTGTATCAAATTCTGCTGACTTAAACAAAGTAAAATTCATACAAGCATTTCAATTAAAATTAGTTAAGCTCAACATAAACTACTAACAATTCTCCAGACATCATCAAGCAGTTTGAAGCAAGCATAATTATGTTGTAGAAATAGAAAATAAAAATAAGCTAGATAACTTAGATATAAATAGCTGCAAAGAAACAAATTCCACGTACTGAGTTTCAGGAATAAAGTGGATATGACTTCCAAAAGGTGCTCATTTGGAATTCCATTATATGAGCTCAAAGTACTCTCAAAGGTATCACAAGTCAATTTTATCATATCTGCTTCCTCACTTTCTTGACTTACATCTTCAAATGATTGGCTTCCCTCAGTTGACAGCTTTTTTGGATCTATGCAATGTTTGATGATCTCCTTCAAAATATCTGAAGCCTGTCTTGCAGTGGTAGTCTCACAATTTAAAAGACCTAGAACAACATGATTAAGATGCCACGTATCAGAAGACCATAAAAATGCATTGATCAAATGTCTACACCTGACAATAAAACCAGAAAAGCGCAATATCTTGGAAATTTTACAGAACCTGCATGTGATTGCAGTGTGATGAGTTTTGTGTTCTACCATAAACATCACTAATTTTAGTTTATAATCAAAATATTTCAGAACATCTTGAAATTATCGCAACTTGTGAGTGAGTGCTGACAATGTTGTTCGTATTAATTAAGCAGAACTCCAACACAAAGCCTGGATATAAACTTGATTTTGACACATATTAACATATAGAGGCAACATATTATGGAAATTCGATTTTAAGTCTAACAAAAGGAACACAATGTTTATCGATTCATTACATGACATGAATTGCATGTATCGTGGAATGTGATGACCTAAATAATGCATCAAAAACTGTCAAGACCCAAGAAATCAAAAGCCAAACAGAAGGATTAAACTTCATGGAAAACAACATAATATCTAAACAGATTATTAGCACACAATCATGAAACACAAATATTATGCAAGAAAATTAACGAACAACTAGATTCAATAAACGTTACAAGAGGAATACCTGCTATAGAACCACAAACTTTAGGAACATTCTTCATCCCACTAGTTGATCCATAGCAATCTTTACCAAAAGCAATTTTTAACAAAGTTGCTGCATAAATGACAGTGTCCATTGGATTCTTCTCACCAAAAGATACATAAAAAGAGAGAGAATTTATAAAATCCTCCATATGCATGCCAATAACTTCCTCTTTTGAAGTCTCGAAAAATGCTTCAATACATTTAAAAATATGTCTTGTAAGTGCTGTGAACCGGGAATTCAAAAGCTTACGTAGTTCCAAGAGTATTTTCGAGCATAGTTTAACAGAGAGGTATGGAATAGTAAGCTTCAGCAAGTTTAGCATATGAAGAATCTCTAGATTTCCAGATTTTGACAACGTTTCATCTTTAGACCCATCTTCAATCTTCAGCTCGCTTAAAGTAAGTGCCATGGGCATGTATCTTTTGAATGATGAAAGAACCAATTTGCTAGACTCTTTGATAACAGAAGGAGATTTAAGGGACTTCAAAACCTTCTCAAGACAATCTTGGGCAGTTCTCCGAACCTAAAAGGAAAAGAACCAGGAAACTAAATTTTATTTTTCCAATAATGCCAACAAATCAAACACTGCTACCAGTTGACTAGATGAATGCAGTGTAAAAGCATGTACCTTTGGCCGCTTATCAATGGACGACTTAAGTACGGTCTCGAAGCCTAAGTTAACAGAGCCCCAATCCTCCAAATCACAAAATCCCAAAATCAAAACCCCCAAACACTTGATCACACAACTCACGCTTGCCGCCCCTAACCCGTCTCTCTCCACCACTGCCACCAAAACCGTCACCGCCTCGCTCGCCTTATCACCGTTAATCCCTTTTGGTGGAATCAATGGCACTATAATTGAAACAAACGACAAGAGCGCCGCAACCGCTGTGGAATCAAGGGTTTCAGAATCGGAGAGATTATCGATTGCGGCAGCGAAGTAAGCGGGCGGACTAAGAGGGAGTGACTCAGCGGAGAGTATAGAACGAATGGCCGCGGCTGTGGCCAGGAGGTGGCGGTGGTGCTGGGCTTTAGAAGTGGAGTAGCGAGACAAGAGTTGTTGGCAGATATCAGAGTCGTCTTTGAATCCAGTCTCCGATTCTTCTATTGTCTGGGTGCCAATGTTTGGCTCCATGGCGGTGTTCGGGGTTTTCTTTGGGCGCCTTGGGTTTAAGAATGACGATGGCAATACTGGTAGGGTTTAAGAAATGCGAAGTCTAACAAAGAAAAGGCCCTTGTTAACCTTGAGTCTAATTTTGAGTAAAAATTTGATTTTCAATTACAATTTGAAATCTTTTTTAGCATATTTTTATATTGTCCTTGTATCTTTCTACTTAATTAGTAATTTTTTTAGATATATTATCCCGTAATTCTCATTAAATAACGGATTCGTTATTATTATGAAAATTTATATATTTTTGTGATTGTTTGAAATAATTTTCAAATAGAAAGATTTAATATTATTTTTTTATTTTATTTTTTATTTAAAAAATATACATAATTGTCTAATTTATGTCCGATCTATATGAATATTTGAAAAAAGTAAAATTTTATTATTGATGAACTATATTTCTTAAAAAAATTATGTTAATTAAATAACACCTCATAATAATCGAGTTCCACGTTATAAAAAAAATATTTCTTATAACTTCATTATAAAAGTTGTATTGTACTTAATCTTTAATGTAGTTATCAATTCTTTAATTTACAAAATTATTATATTTAATATTTAAGCTCTAGCTCTTAGACAGTGCATGTGCATGATCTTTGCTCAAGATAATCTTCCACTTAATGGCTATATTTTTTCAAACCGCCAATTGCTATTTTTTGCTTTAAATTCTTATAGAGTTGATAATTCTGATTTTGGTTTAGTTGCCGCTGATTATAAATCTATTTTAATTTCTAGGCATGATATTAAAATCGCGTGGATTAAAAGATAGGAGAATAAGGAAGCTCATTTACTTGCTCAAGTTTCCATTGATCATTTTCGTTTTCATATTTGGGACTCAATTCGAGACCTTTTATTTGATTATTGTTCTTCGAAATAATATAAGCTTAGTCTTATTCCTATTTAAAAAAAATTATATACAACCATGTTTATCAATTTTTTGATAAATTTTTTATTTACGTTATCTAAATCGTTATTTTAGTTATGTTTTTGTATTAAAGTTTACGTGTCTTGGCATTCATGTCCATTTACAACAATATTCACAGTGTTTTTTTTTTTTTTTTTTTTTTTTTTTTTTTTTTTTTTGAACATTTCTTCATATTTTTACAGTTTTTACAACATATACAAATGAGCTCTTCTTAGTTGTAAGGCTCAAGTGGCCTTTTTTTTTTTTTTTTTTTTTTTTTTTTGACATTTTTCATATTTACAGTTTTTACAACATATACAAATGAGGCTTCTAGTTGTAGGCTCAAGTGGCCCCTTACTAATTTTCTATCTTAGGGCCTTTCTCATGGATCTCACCATTGGGCCTGGCCTTGCCTTTTTGGGTCTTCTTTTAGGCCCGCATAAAAAATTTCTTAAAATTTTTAAAATGTTATATAAAAAAAAATGTCAAATATATAAATACAGTACTTATAATTTAAAAAAAAAGTACACTATTTAGCACACAAAATTTTAATGAATTCAAACTGGTACACGGCCAGCAATATAGATCAAATGATGTATAATATTACCAAATAAGACAGGACAAATTACGATTATGACCAAATTTAAAAGACTAAATACTTGTTATTTACCATTAACCTTATTTCCCATCTTTGTTGTTCTTTATTTTACACGTGAAGAATTTTATTTATTTATTTATTTATTTTCAAGGAAGTAAAGTAAACGATTCACGAGATGCAGCGTAGGCCCAGCCGAAACCAGCCAAGAACTTAACATTTCCCGATGTACGGATAACGGCACAGATGGCTGGTTTGAGTTGTACAAACGTTATTAGTATCCACAACCTTAAGCACCCACGTGTTGTATTCTGTTTCGCAGAAGCTTCCGATTCCACAACAGATCCACCGTCAAAAAAAATATTATAGTTTCATGGGACCCATCAGTCAATTTTCCGCAATTTGTGCTGATCTATTCCGTCCGATCTTGTTCTTCTGTTAGGTCCAAAAAATGTTTAGACCCACTTTCACTTGAGGTGCGTTCAGACATAGCCCAATTCACCTATATTAACGGAATAAAACGAAATTATTTTTAAAATTCTGGTTATGAAACCAACCAGAAGTGGAACAATTCGTTTAAGATTTTAGTTTTTTATTACACAAGTAGTCCAATATAAGATTTGATAGTGAGTTGCGTTCGTAAATGTATGGTTCGCAAGAAGCTCACCGGGAGATAATTTGGGGACAAAGCTTTCAATTTCATAGGTCCCAAGAAGCAAATTCTCTGAATTATTTTATATTTTTTCTTCAATTTAAAAAATAAAAAATAATTTCCTATTTATGTTACTATTAATTCACTTCCTTCCTATGCACACAAATAAACTCATATCACATGCAACAGTGTCGGCAGAGGTGTATACATAAATATAATATACATACACGTGTTCACAATATTAATTATTTTGTACAATATTAAAATTATAAAATCTAAATATGGTTGAAAGAATTAAATAAACTGTAATTATTACAATATGCATTCAAAGTTCATCGTATTTTTACAACTTAAAATAATTAATCAATTTGTAATAATTTTTTTCTGGTCTATTATTTTATTAGAATCAATATATAATAAATACCATAATTGTTTTTAACTATTAGATTATAAATATTTAGAAATTAACTTGCATTTCGATTGCATTTTTTATTCATATTTAATTAAGGGACTTTAAAGCTACCGATATTTATTTTATTAGATGTTGGAATATTTTTTCTTTTGAGGCTATTTAAATCAAAATAAATCTTTCAAATAAATAAGGAAAAATTATGGACAAACATAATATAATGATTTCAATTTTTAATACCAAAGAAAATTTATTTTCTCAAATATTAATGCAAGTAAATATTTAATTAATATCACATAGAACATTTAAAATATAATATGAATTTATTCATTTGGTAATTCTCATTCCATTATAAGAAAAATATAGGTTAGAAAAAAATTAATAAATTGGTTAATTATTTCATTCCATTACAAGAAAATATAGATTAGAAAAAAATAATAATAAATTGAATTATTATTTAAAGTTATAAAAATATCTAATTCAAGGATGCAATTAATCTTTAAGTTTAATTCTAGAATATTCGTTAAAAGTTAAAATAGAGCATAATTGCAATATTTTGGAAAGTTTAGAGTATTTTTTTTTTTTTTGTCTTATATTAGACTTATTTGTTGTATTCAAATCAACTTTACATGGTCACAGTTAAGGCTTATCGTCCTTTCCTACAAACATATTTAGTGAGGATCAAATTAGAGAGTTCTTCCCACATGTCCAGTCTACGTTATCAACCGAGCTGCAACATGTAAGTAACTTTTAATTTTTTTAAATTTGTTACAGTTTAGTTCTTCAATTTTCAAAATGCACCAACTTTTTAATATCTGAATTAAAAATTTTCATTACTCCAAATGCAAAGACAGAATGATTATTTAATTTAAAAGGCAAAGTATTAAATTGTAACGAATTCGTTGATTGTTTTCTATTTATTTTTTTGGGAGGAAATGTAAATAACTAATTTAAAATTAAATTTTGTTTTGGATAAAAAGGAAGGTATAAACCTCAAAAGACAAAAATTAAGAATATGGAGTATATAGAAACTATAGATAATTATTTCACATTGGAAGTATAGAAATTAATTTAAAATCAGCATTTTTTAAATGAATTAATTTATAAAGTGTACTCCACCAACCTTTTACGTTTAAATAATTGCTAATTAAATTGGAGGTCCATGGACTTTATATACATTAATTTAATTGACATGTTATTTATTATAAATAACGATAATTAAGAAGGGAAATATATATAATTAAAATCAGCATTTTTTAAAACTGAATTAAAATTTATAAAGTTGTCACTCCAACCCAACCTTTTAGCGTTTAAATAATTGCTAATTTAAATTGGAGGTCCATGGACTTTATATACATCTACATTCTAATTACATGTTTAATTTATTATAAATAACGATAAATTAAAAGGGAAATACTAATATATATACTATATATATAATATATATATATAATATATAATATATATATGAATAATCAATAATATCAATAATAATTTATGAATAATAATAATATAATAATAATTACAACATCCCAAGAAAAAATACCATCTCAGGGAAGATGAGTCATAAAAATAATATGACGAAATAAATAGTAACAACTTAAAAATGAATGAATTCTCACATTGTTATTATCACTTACAGTTTCATTTTTAAGCACTTTTACAATCAATTAGCCTAATGATGAATTCATATTTGGGGTCCATTCAGCAATTTCAGCGATTTTAGTAAATGTTAATTGTTGTATAACTGTCATTTATTTTACTAGCCGTTAGCGGTTAGATATTAGTTTACAGTGGTTAGTTGTATATATAACGATTTAAAATAAAAATATTCAGTATGAATAAGTATTTGGTTAGCTTTTTAATATAAAAAGACAAAAAAAAAAAAAAAAAAAAAAAAAAAAAAAAAAAAAAAAAAAAAAGATAAGGTCATAGAGAACAAAACAAATACAAGTGATGCTAAAACTCTAAACGTTATGATAGATGTGATATTATCGAACACAATAATTAATTAAAACAATGTTTTAACTCAATCAAAATATGAAACACTACTTCAAACATTCTTGCTGAATAGAGCCTTGATTCACAGAAAAGTTCAAATGGAGTTTTCTCTCATGCTTAAAAAATAAATTCCTTACTTATATATTGTGACTCAATTAACAACGTAGGCCGAATATATGGAAAAAAATTTCGAGTTTGATTCCCACTAAACACACCTGCAAAGAGGGGCAAAGAGCCTTGACTGTGATCAAGTTTGAGCCGAATTATGCAGTTTTAGTAACAGAGTCGGATTAGGCGGTCTCTAGTAACATGGTGCGGTAGTTTAAAAATAATAATAATAAATTACTTTCTTCTCAAAACAAAATAAAATAATTTTTCCTTAAAAAAAATTAATTGTCATACACTTTTTCCAACTTGTAAACCCACGTTTTGTGTTGATATTTTGTTTCATGTTTTCGAAGTGATTTAGTGGGTGACTTTTACTCATAAGTTCGAATTTGAACTTCCTTTGTAATTAAAAGAAGGAAAGAAAGAAAAGAAAGAAACATCTTTAAAAAAAAAAAAAAAAAAAAAAAAAAAAAGGATAAGAAACAACCGTCAATTTCGGAATAAATGTTGAATTTTGGATAAGTTTAGATATAAAATTAACTTTGAGTTTATGACCAATTTAACATACTCTAATAAAAAAATTATAAAATTATTTAGTTAGTTTTGTTAAGGTGCTAATAAAATTATATATATTATTTCAGTTTTTGGTAATATATAATAGTATTTTAATCCCATATAGAAGATTGAGAAGAAAAATGAAAACAAAAAAAAAAAGAAAAAAAAAAAGAAAAAAAAAAGGAATATATATAAAAAAAAAAAAAGAAAAAAAAAAAGAAAAAAAAAAGGAATATATATAGAGTTGAGTTTCTTCACTTTTATTAATTCAAAAATTTTCATAGAACATGTTTAGAATTTGGGTACTTTATTTAAATATATTTTTCTTAAATATATATATATATATATATAAAAGATGAGATTGTACAATCAATTTTTAGTAGTCACAATATCACCCTTAAATGCAAAGTAGTTAGTGTGTCTATATATATTTCAGTTTCCTAATATGCTATTGTCGTTTGTCAATGTCTCAATGGTTTTCTTTAATCCAAATTTCTTTATTATAATTTGTAAATTGACAATTCAATAGCTATAGTATGTGTCGATTATGAAAAATAGAAAATTAATTAATTAATTAAAACATATAATTTCATAGTTCTAATTTAGGAAGAAAAAAAAATATAAAGACATATTAAGATTAAACAAGAGTTATGTTCTAATCATATCAAATATAAAAATAAAATTATATCTAATTTTATAAGACATAAAAAATATCTTATTTTGTATACCTCACAAGAAAATAAACTCATCAATTGGATGTACTAACAATATAATATCATGGGATAATTTTTACACTTCATATTAAATATAAACCTATTCATCACCCAAAATTAAACTATTCACAATTAAGATTAAGAAATTCGTAAATGGAAAAAAAATTCATATTTATAATTTGATTTTAAATAATTAAAATCTAATTAATAAATAGAAAGACCCTTCAAAAAAATCAATAAAATAGAAAGAAAATCAACTAATTACCTAACTTGTATGTCTTTGTATTTCTCTGCCTTTACATGAATATATACGTGTATATATATATATACGCACAAATACAAATACATGTAGTGGAGAGTAGTGGAGCGTGCGTGCGTGCGTGTGTGGAGATAGCAAAAGATAAAACAAAAGGCTTTTTTAACTTACTCATACTCCAGCCCGAGGAGAAAAAAACCGAAACTACAGAGAGAGCTAGAAATGGGAATCACAGCAAAGTCCAAGGCTAAGAGTAGCAACGAGAATTGGGGTATGGGATTGCTTCTAGTCTTCTTCCCCGAAGAAAACTCCGCCGCCGCCGTCACCTCCACCACCACCACTCCTACCGCCATTGTTGATAAAGTTAACAATAGTCCTTTTTCTTCTTCAAACCTCAATACTAATTCCAAAACCATAAAAAGAACCAATTCTAATAACCCAATTCTTACGAAAACCCAGTCCACCATTTCTATTTGCGCTCTTCTATTGTTTCTTACCCTTCTTCTTTTCACTCTTTCCACTTTCGAACCCACCACCGCCATTAAAACACCTCGAAGATTTCTTTCCGACAATAATAATAGTAATAAATCTCAGATTAACAAATTCAATAACCACCACACCTCCAACACTGGAAAATCTTGGTTTTTCAAGATTTGGAGTAACAATCGTCCCAGAAATGGTACTAAATTTCAGTTTGTTTCTACTTCTGCTCTTCAAGGAATGGGTAAGCTCTATTGCCGTGGAACCAGGGCCATGAACGATCTTGTGGTTGCTCATGTAGTTGAAGACACTAACGAAGATGAATTCAAGCTTTTCTTGCGACTATTATTGAGGTCAGGTCTTTTTGCTAAAGCTGATGTCGTTTTTATTTTCGGTTCTTCGTCGTCTTCTTCAAGATTCGATGGTTTGATTAAACAAGAGACAGACTCGTTTTTGAAACTCGTTCATTACTACAAAGAATTGAACTCAACGAGTCGTGACTCGGTCTCGGCGAGTTTAAGATTCGATGTGACTCATTTTGTTAAACATGGGAAGAAGGAAATGGGAGAGCCTTTATGGGGGAAGAGAACACGGGTTAATAACTTCAATGAATCAGAAGAAAGTGGCAGTCAGTTGACTCGGTTGAGTTATGGATCGGTGGTCGGTTTTGAAGCAAATGAGCTCGACCCGGAGAACTCGCTCGCCGGATTTTTAGACCATGTACCGATGAGTTTAAAAAGATGGGCATGTTATCCAATGTTGCTTGGTCGAGTTCGAAGAAATTTTAAGCACATAATGTTAGTAGACGTGAAAGCCTTGGTTTTACTGAATGACCCACTCGGCCGAGTCAGGAATCAGAGTCCTGAGTTAGTGTACATATCAACAAAACAAGAAACAAGTAGCTCAAGCAAGCACAGTAAAAGAAACATGGACAAGAGTCAGTCTCATACACAAGTTAATTCAGCGATTTTGATGGGTGGAGCAAGGGGAATTCGAAGGCTTTCGAGTGCAATGCTAACTGAAATTGCTCGAGTTGCAATGCAACACAAGGCAAGGAAGAATTTAGTTACAGAGTCAGCAATACTGAGTCAACTCGTTAGTAATGGGCATATATTGAAGAACATTGAATTGATGACGTCAAGTGAGCCAATCTCAGAACCGAGTTCAGTGAGTGGGTCAAACTCGTTTTGGTTGGTTAATTATAAAATTATCCAACGTGGCAATGCTAATCATGATCTTAATTCAATAATTATGAAGCATGTATGTTCATGTGAAGTAGATTCTTCTGTTTATAGAGATTGCTAGCAAGCAAATAAGAAAGGGAAGGAGAATAGAATTTTAGGTAAAAGAATACAGAATAAGGGACATAAGGGTTTTTTGTTGTTTCTACAGTTTATTCTATAGTTGTCTTTTTGTATTTATTTTCTTTTTTTAATTTTATTTTTCTCCAATGAGTTTTGTTTTTACATGTAAATGCTAATGTTTATTTGTGAAAATTACATATTAAAATTTTTGGAAAAGGTTCATTAGAAGTGATATCATCAGCAATGATACATGAGCATATGACAACGACATGGCAAAAAGCAATTAATTATTTTGGATTTTTATAATCTAAGAGTAATTAGCTATTCATCAAATGCTACACGTAGTTGATTCCTTTTGATCTAATATTATCTTCAATGCCATTAAAGTATTTATAAAGGTATAATGCCAAAAAAAAAAAAAAAAAAACAAGTGCCATTAAGTTTTATAAAGGTATAATGCCAAAAAAAAAAAAAAAAAAAAAAAAAAAAAAAAAACTAAACAAATATTATGATTTAACTATGTTTTCTTAATCTATGTAAAAGATAAAATAAGTCTATTTTTTTAATATGGAGAGAGTATTATTTTACTAATCTTTGATTAATAATAATATAATAGTATATTTGTTGAAAAAATTATTAAACTTATTAAATAAATTTCAAAACTGAATGCAATCGAAAATATTTAAATTAAACCATTGAGTTTTTCATTTATGAAAATTTTTATTTTATTTTTAATTGAATTAAATGAATGAATATAGAATTAGTAGATGATTAGATTAAACTATACATTTGTATAAATTTCTTATTAAAAGGGTTTTACCTGAATGTCATCATGATCTGAGCGTGCATAAATGATATAAATTATAATTAAATAACGAAGAAAGTTAAGTATTATAATTTAATATTAAAATAATTTAATAAAAAAGAAGTTGCTAATTAATGGTTCTTCAAAAGGAATGTTGATAATAATTAGGTATAGACTATATTTATTGTGGATTTATGGCAATAATTAAGCTAAATCTTTGACTTTTTTTTGCTGGTGGTCAACTTTATTACATTTCTAATTTTAACTCAAATATTTTATTTTACGTACTTGATTACTGAGCAGTATTAATCTTTAATTAAGCACGCCAATGTTCCCATCAAAAGACCAGCGTAAATTAGTGAAAGAAAATTGCATCTTTCTAGGCGAAGAAAGTGCAAGAAAATAAGAGAAAAAAAAATTAAAAAAGAAAAGAAAAGGAAAGAAAAAAGCCAAACAGAACTTAAAAGAGAAAGAGAGGGAAAGAGAGAGAGAGTCATGGAGAGAATGTGAAATACCTACGCGTAGAACATTGAATAAAGGAAGGCACGTGATGTTGAGATTTTTCATCTACGCGTTATGTTTTTTACTAATTTATTTTAATTAATTTATTATTTTCATTCGGCTTTTGGATTTTTGAAGCACAAAAAGCATTGAAACGTGTCATTTAATTAGTGCATTAAAATTTTTTTCTTTCACTTTTTGCTAACGCCAGCTCGTCTGCCTGACCAAAGTTAGTAAATCAATTCACGTGGGATCAAAAAACTCAAACACAAATTTACATTAAAACGGTGCCGTATTTCATGTTTCTCTTCTGATGCTAATTTATTGAGGTATTGTTTACTGAGCCCTGAAATGGAGAAGCGAGTGATCTTTTTTCCCATTCCAAAGACTGACATGTTTAATGCTATTGCAGAGAGAGAGGATTGAATTGATATTGGTTTGCTGTTGGGAGTCATGTCACTTCATTGCTATTTATTTTCAAATTTACAGGTTTTTTTTTTTTTTTTTTTTTTTTTTTTTTTTTTTTTTTTTTTTTTTTTTTTTTTTTTTTTTTTTTTTTTTTTTTTTTTTTTTTTTTTTTTTTTTGAGAAATAAAGTGCTATAATACTTCATTTGTTGATAAATTTACGTGATTTTTAGAATAATTTTTTTATCGAGAGATATAACTCATTTTGAGAATCTAAGGGATAATTAATGAATTTTTTTCAATTTCAACCTTATATATTAAACGCATTCATTTTTAATAATGTGATATAAAAAGGTAATTTAGTTAAATTAATATCATCTTTGTTATATAATATTATTGTGACATCCTACTGAGTCGAGTCATTTCATGGAGTCGAGTTGAGTTGAGTTGAACCAAACCCGGTTGGGGTAGAATGGGTTTATAAGTGGTTTTATAAGTGGAGTTTACTTGAGTTAAGAGAAAAATCATAAGCTATGGGTGAGGAATTTATTTGAATTAAAAAGATTGAGGCTTTGGTATTAAGGGTTGTAGCCATGTTTATAACTTGAGGGTAACCCATCTTTACGAACTTTACCACACAAAGTCATGGATCTTCTTAGAGCCTACCCGTGCATACCCATTTCAACTTTCCCATTTCTCATGCTCTCTAATCTTTCATCTTCTTTCATTGTCTTCCTTCTCTTCCACCTTCTTTTCAAAATTTTAATTGGTAGTTAGCCTTAACATTCAATTTTTCTTCTAATCCAAGTAACAAGTAAGTAAACCTTCTTGAAGTTCATAATTGAATCATTTGGTGTTGTTATTTTAGAATTTATAAGAATTCTTCTTTATAGGTGAAGGGAGTTCTAAGGGAGTAGAAAAAAGAAGCTAAAGAGGAGCTCAAGCTTTTGGAGTAAAGGTTTGATATCTCTTGTTCTTTTCCATTTTCTTTGCATGAGAAATTGTGTGGTGTGTTGCTACTGAGACATATTGCTTTATGTTGAGTGAGAGGACTGGTAATGGTGAGAAAACAGGGGAAAACAGGGGAAGTATTGAATAAATGAAGTGAGTATTGAGTTTATGTTGAAACAGGTTTTGCTGGCTGGAAATTTTACCAGTGAACTTTCATCATGATTTGAACCCCATTTAATGATTGGGAATTTGGAATGTCATAGAAGAGTTATTGCTTTCCTCTAACCAAACCCGGTTGGGGTAGAATGGGATTTTAAGTGGAGTTACTTGATTGAGAGAAAAGATCAAAGCATATGAGTGAGGATTGATTTGCATTAAAGATTAAGCTTGGGTATTAAGTGATAGCCTTTTGCTAATTAAGGTACCATTTAGAACTTTTACACAAAGTCATGAATATTCTAGAGCCTACCCGTGCATATCATTTCACTTTCCCATTTTTCATGTTTATCTTCATCTTCTTCATTTTCTTCCTTTCGCTTCTTCCACCTTCTTTTCAATTTTCATGGTAGTTAAGCCTTAACTTCAACTTTTTTTTCTATCCAAGTAAGTAAACCTTCTTTAAGTTCATAATTGAATCATTTGGTGTTATTATTTTAGAATTCATAAGGATTCTAATTTATAGGTGAAGGGAGTTCTAAGATTGTAGAGAGAAGAAGCTAAAGAAGAACTCAAGCTTTTTGGAGTACGCGCTCGCGACTTTCAAGTACGCGCTCGCGACCTTGCAAGGCGCGCTCACGACTTATGTTTTCACGCACTTTTGGATTTCTTTTTCAATGCAATTGTATTCCTTGCTTCACTTATATGCCTCCAATCACTTTAACATCAAAATACAACATGAGACCATGTATCAAAACATCATGCAAGCATACAAATGATGTGAAATCAAATAAACATTATGATTTATGAACTATGAATATGATGTTGTGTTATATTATGTGATGTTGTTGTTATATTATTGACATACCACATTAATGCTCCATTGAGGTTAGTAGAACCATGTAGATAAGGTATGTCGCGACATAAAGGATAACAGATCTGCACTCTCAATACAGTTTTGATACTCCAGCTACAGGCCGTGAGTGGATATGATTATATGGGCATAGCAGCCAAGCCATACAGTATTCATTCCAGTTTTCATACAGTTTTTCTTATCACTTTGGTTTCATATAACTTATGGAGCCATAACAGATATCTTGACATAACATTTCATGAATTTTACAGTATGTATAACAGTACAAAAGATAATCAAAAGTATCATGCATGTGTGCCTATATGTGCCATTATGTGTTTGCATGGTTCTTTTCTATACATCGTATGTGTTTTAATTGTTTCTTTATCTGTTGAAAATATCCACTGAGCCTTTATTTGCTCAGCGAGTTACCTGTTTAAATCGCAGGTTTTGGTTTGGACCGTAGAGAATCGGCTTAAACTGCTACAGTTCATTGTAGATAGGACTCAGTCTTCAGGGTAGTTTTCTCATTTTGATATGGATATCTTTTGTCCTACCCTTTTTATGGGCATGTACAGGGACTACAGTTTGGGCCATTTTTCCATGTTGCCACTAGTATCTTGTTTTGTAAATAGTAAATTACATTATTTGTATACAACATCAAGCATGCTATTATTTCAATATACATTATGATTTCAGTGTCAGGCCATACAGTCAACCAGTTTGTAACGTCTCGGTCCGGTTCATTCGGGTTCACGGGTGGACCGGGAAGGGGTGTTACAATTTATCACATTTGTAATTTCACATTCGTTAAGAAAATCATTAAATTTGTCTAAGTTACAATAACTTACCGAGTAAATTGACTATATTATCCTTAATTTGATACTACTTCTCTATAAAAACTATTACTTGAAGTAATAATTATTGGTCTTATACAAAGGGTAAACATGGAAAAAATGAATTTATTACTCCTTAAACAAATGTGACAAGTATTTTGGAACAAACTATTTTCTCAAATATGACAAGTATTATGGAACGGAAGTAGTATATTTTTTTTGTTATAATCTAGGTGAATTAATTACATTTTTAATCATTGGAAAAACCTTAAATGACTTATTTTTGTGAATAGAGATGACAATTTTATTCGATCTCTAAGGATAAGTGATCCCATTCGACTTGATTTTGATATATTTAAATAGGGAATAAACGAGTTTAAGATGAGTTTAGAAGTATTTTACTATTTGTATTCAGTTCATGTTCAAAGAATCAGATACTCGTTAGTCCAGTAACTATTTCCCGCTTAATTAATATTCTAAAAATATTTAAAATTATTATTTTTCTAAAAATAAAATTACATATATACACCTTTTAAATTGTAATTAATACTATAATTATATTTTATATCTATAATTATATTTTATTGTTTATTTTTAAAAAATAAAAATAAATAAATATTAAACGATATTCAAATGGATAAGGGTATTTAAATGGTTAATTA